GAATGAAAAACGTTACATTTTACAAAACAACATAAAAACAATGAGCGCGCGCTCTGAGAAGATCTAATAAGCGCGCGCGGTAACTAACTTCTAATTACACAGAGATAATTTTGCGGGATCATCCGCCCCTTGTCCCTATTAAACAAAACGTTCTTCTTCTTTGCAATCTCTATTGCCTCACTCCATCTCCTCTGCGACCAACGGCTTTCTTTGCACAAGATGGATGTTTCCTTCCAGTTAATCGCATGGCCTGTTTTGCTTGCATGTTCCGCTAAAGCCGACGATCTTGTTTTTCCCAGTCTGACAGCCGCTTCATGTTCCTTTCTACGTGTCCTTAACGCCCTTCCCGTCTCGCCAATGTACTGAGTACTACACTCACCACAGGGAATCCTATAAACAACTCCAGATTGTTTTTCATACTCCACCGGATCTTTAGGTTTGAAGAGGATCTGTCGTAAAGTCTTATCTGGTTTAATACAGCATTTGATGTTATGCTGCTGTAAAATTCTTTGAACTCTTTCAGTAGTACCTTTTACATATGGCAACACAGCAAATCCTTTCGTCTCATCCTTTCCCTCTTTAACTCCATTGTCTTTCTTCCTAATAACACTGTGCCGTTGAATGAACTTCTCTGGATAACCATTCTTCAACAAGCTCTTCTCAAGGTGCTCTTGTTCCTTTCTTTTTGATGTTTCGTCAGACAGCAGTGATTCCTTCCTGTACGCGAGACTGTGGACCACTGCAGCCTTGTGCTTGGACGGGTGGTGGCTATCAAAATGCAAATATCTGTCCGTATGGGTCTTTTTACGGTACAWGGACACTTGTATAGAGCCATCCTGATTCACCGTATTGAGAGTATCTAGAAAGGGTAACCCCTTGTCTGAGTATCTCTCAATTGTGAATTTGATCTTCTTGTACTGGTCATTAAGGCACTTATGGAAGTCATCGATGGAATCCTTGTGTATGACGCAGATGGTATCGTCARCATATCTTTTAAAKACCTTTGGAGCTGAAACAAATGTAGACAAAGCTCTAGMCTCAACTATTTCCATTACGAGGTTTGCAACAGTCACAGAAATAGGAGATCCCATTGCTGTACCATGAATCTGCTTATAGTATTCGCCTCTAAAGCTAAATTCGGTAGAATTTAAACAGAAAGAAAGTAAAGATGTTACATCTGATGGTGTGAGATACGTGCGTTCACCAAGACTTGGATCTTGTACTAGTCTGTCATTAGCAACAGTGACGGCCACGTCGGTTGGAATAGATGTAAAAAGGGAAACAACATCAAAGGAAACTATCTCCTCATCCGCGTCAACATGCAGTTCTCTAGCTAAGTCAACCCACTCCTTGCTGTTCTTTAAGTGTTGTTCTGTCTTACCAACGAGCGGTGAGATGATTTTCACCAAGTATTTAGATAGCTGATATGTAGGAGAACCTATGCAACTCACGATAGGCCTAAGCGGTGTTCCATCCTTATGAATCTTAGGTAAGCCGTACAGTCTCGGCGTGATGCCATCAGTGACGCACAGTGATTCGTAGGTGTTGTCAGGTAACCTTTCTTTCATCTTTAGCAAAAGGGCCTTCAATCCAGACTCGCTTGATTTAGCAGGATCTTTCTGTAGTCGCTGATAGGTTTTCTTATCGTCTAACATGCGTTTCAATTTTTTGGTCATATTCATCTCGATCCATGACAACAGTAGAGTTTCCTTTATCTGCTCTCAACACAACGATGCTAGCATCTTCGCGTAATAAATAAATATTTCAATTTATTGTGTATGCACTGAAACAAAAAAAAAACTGTCTAAGTTAAGAATCTAACATTTTTTTCATATTTTTGTATACATTTTTCAATAGATTCAGAGCAATTTTAGTTTTATKCTCTAATTACATCAGAGTGTAACTTAAGCTTTATTATCATTTCAAAATAATTAGATATTGACAGAGGAATAAATTATTCCAAATGTTTCTTGAAACGTTTTGTATAGTCAGAAAGAGAATAAATGACAGTTTGAAATGTAGTTGCTAATAAATAAGAAGTAAATCTAAATTTTGTTTTAATTAAGATTTAACAACTGATGAATTATGGAAGAAGATGTCGTGTTTGAGGACGTATTATGCAAAGAAATAGGAAAAGAAAGAGCGACCAAGGTTTCAGGAACTGGAACTAAAGATGATATGTTTCCAAGTGGCCTTATTTTAAGCTACTTCACTTCTTGAGAGATAACATCACACCAACAAGCACATTTACCATCAGGATAGGGAGGCCTGCACAATCTCYGATGACCAACAGGAGTCCAGCGTAGATGGAAATGGCTTTGATGATGAGAACAGCTGTGTTTTCAACATCTCTAATCCTCCGTCATGCAAGAACAAAAAAAARTRAAGACGAATCTCGAGGATGACCTCCTGGAAACATGTCTGCAAGAGTTGAAAAAAMCGAAAACAGACAMACCAGTTGATGCAGATRCTACCKTTGGTCAGTTTATTGCAAAACAGATGCAAAGAATACCAGATGGCTATGCCAAGGAAATGCTTCGAATTGACATTCAGCAGCTTATTTTGAAGGCAATGCTCCCCCAACCACCAGCCAGGCAACCATTCTCTACAATTGCATTTGCTGACTTGGAATAGAAACACAGAATTTGATATTACTTTCTAGCGAAAAAAACATTTTGTGCTTTTGATTTAGCTTTTAGCTTTTTACATGTACCAATATTGCATGCAATGTCAACATTTTTCAAGCCTTTATTTATCAGAGCCGTTTTAAGTATAAGAGTATGAMACTTAAGTTATCTATTAACTATTTTGTACTATTTTACATTTTTTCATTTGCTGTTATCCAACTAGCCATAACTACATGTATTTTGTATTCTTAACTGGCTTCTCTTTCAGTGCTGTCCATTGGTTCACAGCGCATGTACATGCATGGCATAATAGTTCAAGAAACATGTGAGTAAATTGTAAATTACCATACATTTTCTTAGTGCAAGCTGCAGAATATTTGAAACTAGTTTGTAACACTWTTTGGAAGATTTTTATGCTCCTTGCTAATTGGTGTTATATTTTTGTTCAAAATATGGTATTCAATTTGAATGTATAATCAGAAGCGTGTTTACTGGCAACTGTTACACATTTCAACTCACAGTAAGGTTTATGACAATTCTTAAATAGAGAGTCACTTTAAAGTCCACCTCACCCAATTTTTTTTACAGTTGGAAAAAAAAGTTTAGGAGTTATAAACCACAAATTCACATTAAAAAAATTCGAATTTCCAAATTTTATATTTTTTATGCTCGTTTAATTTGGCCAAATGATTTTTGGCCGAGTGCGAGGGAGCCTGGGTTGATGACGTAGATGGAGTAACTCGTCCTTCGGTAAATACAAAGTTTACTGTACAAGTTCCACATATTTCATTACAAATCTATGTTTTCTAAGACTGAACGTGGGATAATCCAGCCTGAAACGGCAAATCTAATGCTACTAGAGATTATTCTGACGATTTGAACGTTATTTCATGTCTTGGCTATAAAAATGGAGCCAAAGTGTTGAGAGATTATTCTGGACAAACAAGTGTTGCGAATAGATCTAGATAAACATCGAGGAACAGGAAAAGTTATTTACGGCCCCAGGTAAGTAACTTCTTTCGATATATGTAGGTAGTATTTACAGCTGTTCAAATTCCAGGTTCTCTTGTTTCAGATTTGATTTTTACTGTCATTTCASTGTAGGTATCTATCGTTGTCTCTCGAACGACTTACTCCCTCTACGTCATCACGAAGACATTGATCAGGCACACAGGAATCCYGAAATTGGTTTTGTCCGCGGTTGTTTTCGCTTCAAAATGTAGTTCAAATAAACGAAATCAAATTTGTTTGTACAAATTGTTGTTACTATGACAAAAGTCTTTTCTTTACAAATATAAAAAAATTGGGTGGTGGACTTTAAAGATGCTCTTTAAACTAATACTATTGTTTGATAACTGTTTTTTTTTTCTGAATAATTTCAAATTCGTCACAGGTTGCATTTTTAGATCAAAGAAAATGAAACATAATTTTCAAGAATGTTAATCACCTGTCCTCCTCATGCCTACTGCAACATGATAAATTTGATACGACATTTTTGATTTTCACGGATTTAATGTCTACT